CTCCTCACCTCTCTGCTCTCTATATGTATCCTTGCTCCTCTATGTCCGCCTTCCATTCCCCCGCATCTGCGGTCTTCTTCAAGGCCTAGTCCAACTATCGGTTGCATCAGGAGGCCTTGGGCCTTCTGCCTGAGTTGGACCACCACATAACAGTCTTTCACATCGAGAACATCATCACCCTAGCTAGCAAGCAACAAACATCAGCAGCACCCTGCGTGGCCTCCCTGACAATCACCGGAAGTAGCTGCCTTCGCGTGACAACTTCCAAGTACACCATCATCGTCGGCATTGACCGATGTAAAGTGTTAGCCTTTGATTTGAAGCTCACCAAGCCCATTTTCATCACAGTCTGCCTAGCCGACCACCATCTGTAGCTTTCCATCCTTACAATAGTGTGGGCGGCGACGATGACGACCGACAGGTGGTCCGGATCGGTGTTCCTTCACAACGCCAGCTGGTATATTTCTCTGGCGCCGTTCGCCCTTGAATCAGGTGTTTTCTTGTTACCGGCGCGTGTGATCGACTGTTTGGTTGTTCTTAGTGCGCTCACACTTCGGTTGCGGTGAAGGTGTCCTCGCGGGTTGTAAACGGCGGAGTCGGAAGTGCTTGCTCGGGGAGAAGTGGCCACGGTGACGATGTCTGCTACCTCTCTCCTCGTGGGCGTGCGTAATGTTTTTGTTGTGTGTCATATCATCATGTTTGTTCGGGTTTTCGTCCAATTTTTCATAATTGATTGGCCAACTCTTTAATTAATGAATTGAGCCCCAAGAAACCGGCAAGAGTTTCGATTTTAAAAGAAAAAAAATCTGAACCGGCAAGTTTGGCTAGCTATATAACCCTGGAAAGCATCATGATTAGGTGATCAGATTAAGTCATTGTTTCAAGTCCATCTGTGGACGCTCGCAACACTTTTGCTGTCCTCCTTTGGACATGGCACTCCTCCAGGTACGCATGCAAGACAATTCTCGAAGCTTGGGTACAAAGTTTTGCGGCCTGGACGCAGTCGTTTCCTTCAGTCTCATGGCGTCGCTTGATACGGCTACTGCTACACGCACCCAGTGAACCTATAACGATCTTCCCACTTTTGTGGCGCTTGAATGAAAGTTTTTCAGGTGGCCTTTGCCGTTGCATCTAAACTTGATGAAAAAAAAGGGTTTTCCTGTTTTATATATAAAGCAATCATCACTTACACTCAAGCAACCGATACAAACGCACGCCACATACACAGAAGATTAGATACAAGGATGCCGGACATCGACACACCACCACAACGACTACTAAGCACCTACAAGATGTGCAAAATAGAACCGCTTAGAGCCAACCGAGACTACCACCAAGATGACCGATCGTCTGAGCAGAAGTGCGACGGACCACGCCAGACCGAGGACTCGACGATGTCTCCAAGAAGGGCACGACTACTGAATGTCGCAAACGTTCTATCTGAAGATCAAGTTTTCACCTGGAGCTAGATGGAAGGAGTGGGAGCACCACGACGGAGCCTACAAGGAGGAACACGACGTCCGCGGACGCCATCACCGTCGGTTAGTGCATGGACCGGGCAAGTGATGTACCCCGGTGCTTCACCCCCTCTGTCACCACCCCGCTCCGCGAACCACCCGCAGCCATGTCGCCGGAGCGGCCATGGTTGCCTGCCTGCATCCGAGCCGCGCAATCCGCCCACGACCAACGCGCCTCCCGCGGCCAGGACCGCTGCCCTGCCCACCAAACCACCTTGAAAACCACCAAAGGACACGGCTTTGACCAGATCCACACTCCCAACCGCCTCCAAAACCGTCGGCGGTCACCCAGCCTCGAGAAGAACCGCGACCCAACGCCGGCTGGGGGAAGAGGGAGGGGAAGGAGTGGCACATGGCCAAGCCCGGCACCCCTGTGTCGAAAACGAGGCGCACGGCGGTGCACCCGTCCGTCCTACAAGCCTTCCTCGAAACCACATGTTTCGCCCTCGAAGCCAAAGGTCCGGACTAGTCGGAGAGCACCGACCGTCGCCTAATGTTGAAGAGTAGGGATGGCAGATCCGCCACCGCCACAACCATGGG